TTCTGGTGACTCGGCATGACGTGCCAGGGAGGAAGGGCAGCTGGCGCCTCCCTGCAGCGGAGGCCCCCTTCCTGCTCTGACTCCACAGGGAAGCTGGTGTTTTTTGGCCTAATCCTGCTGGGGCCTGCAGGGGGTGGGATGCTGGGGCCAGGTCAGCGTCTGGCTGTGGGTGCCTGGAGCCATGGTGGAGAGAAAGGTAGGGTGGGGCTCTGAGTCACGGTGCCACTGCAGCTCACTGGCTGGCCCAGGGTGGGGACTGCCCACGGTGGGGGTGGGGATGGTGCTGAGCCCTTTTCCCGTCTCACCTCGGAGAGCTCGATACTTCCGGCTGAGTCACAGGGAAGGGGGAAAGTCTAGAAGGGGCTGGGGGCTGAGTTGTTCCCACATCACTTCCTGCTGAGAGCCCCACGCCCATGGGGTGGGGAGTGGGACCCTGCTGGTGACTCTGATGAGGAGGCTCCGAGGAGGCTGGGGTACTGGGGCAGTCCCAGCTCAGACCCCATGCTGCCTTCTTGGGGGTGGTCTACTTAGTGGAGCTGGCCCTGGAGAAGCCACCGGCTTAGGCCCACCAGGGTGGACGGAGAGGTTTCGTCCTGACTGGGAAAACCGGCTGCAACCTCAGGCAGGCCTGGCTTCTCAATACTGGGTTAACCTGCTAGGTGGATGGACTTAGAGGATGTCTGAGCAGCACAGGCAGCCCAGGAGACCGAGAGGCTCTTTGGCACACAGAGAACAACATAAAAGCTAAGACTGACCCCAAGGAGTACCAGCCCTCCTCCCAGGGAGCGAAGGGCAGAAACATCCACCTCCCAGTCACCTCTGCACAGAGTACACAAGCCTGGACAAGCCCTGCAGTGTGGTGCGCACAGGGGCACACACACATACACGGGCAGGCTCAGGCGGGGCCCCGTGCAGACGTCTGTGCAGTCACTGTCATTTTGCAGGTGAGCCAGGCACCTGGGCTTTTAGACAGCAACACCACTGAAACCACTGCTGTGCACAGACCAGCTCACACCTGTAATTCACATCCCTGGTTCTGAGCTGATGGTCTCTGCTTTGGCTGTGAGACCCTCGAGGGAACAGGGTGTGGGCAGGGGTTAGAATGACCCAGGATTAGTTCTCTGACTACATGGGTGAGGGAGGCTGACTCCCCAAGCAGCTCTGTATCTCTGGCAGCTCTCGCTGGGCTGGATTTTCCTGCAGGGCTTTTGGATTTTGTTTTTGAGCCACTCATTGAGTGTTGATCATGTGCCAGACACCGTGCCACGCTGGGGTAACGTGTGCAAAGTTGTTTTGAGCAAAGCTCTCAGTAAATGTGGGTTATTAGGTATATTATTATTTACATACATAATCTCATTTCTTCTCATAGCAACCTTATGAGGCAAAGTGCTATTATTGTCCCCATTTTGCAGATAAGGAAAAGTGAGGCTTTAAGAGGTTACATGGCATATCCTAGTGGCACATAGCTAGTAAGTGGCAGAGGCTGGGTGTGAACCCAGGTCTCTAACTCCAGTCTGCAGTCTTCGTCTCTATCTTGTTGAGACTCGCAGTTGGAAAGCCAGCCCCACTGACCAGCCCTGGTGAGGTTGCCAGGGCATCTGCACACCATGGCTTTGAGTCTGAGGCTCAGGGCAGAGGGACAAGGGCCGGCGTGCAGAGGATTCCCCAGAGCGGGAAGGCTTGGAGTAAGCGGCCCCTCACTCACTTGGCCAAGGCACATTCTACTTTCTGTCCCTTTTTCATTTCAGTCACTGTGTTCTCTGCCTGACTGAAAGACATGGGGGTTCTCAGCAGCTGGCTGCTGGGCTGAACTGGGCTGGCCGGTGCCCAGGCTTCCCCTCCAGCCAGGCTGGGCTCTGTCTGTGGGCCCCGGGGCAGGTCCCTACTCCCTCCAGGTCTGAGCGGGGTTGAGCTGCCACCTGGGACCCAGGCTTATCTCTGACTCTTGGCGTGTCTGCACTGGACAGATTCCAAGGACAGCCTGCTGCCTAGCCCTGTGGGCCCTGCCCAGGTGGAAACACCCCTGAATACCTTGGCAGACTGGAAGCAACCCTTGCTTTCTGTGAGCTCTGTAAGGGTTGCGTGATGAGGGAGCGCAGTGGCTCTTGGCTTTGGTCTCCCTGACTTATAAGACTCCTAGAATCCTAACTTTATATTTTTTGTGACCCCATGACCTATGTGAGGAAACTGCTGCTCACTGAGATGCCATCGACATACCCTAAAAGAAGAACCTGCTTGGTGCTTCTCAGAGTGTGGTCCTCGGACTGCTGACTTCAGAGTCACCCAGGAGCTGGTAACACTGCACATTCTCGTGCCCTGGGCCGGACCATTTAAACAGAATCTCTAGGGGCAGCCCTGGTGCTAGAGCACATCTCAGGTGACTGCGGACCATGGCTTGGGAAGGAAACCCCCTGGACCAGCCCCCATCTGGGCTCCTCTTTTGCTATGGGGCTTTGTGTAAATTGCTTAAACTCTTTGAGCTTTGATTTCATTATTTGTAAACGGGTAACAACAGTAAGTGCCTCACAGAATTAGTATATGCAGCGAGCAAAACACTGCACCTTCCCAGCACAGTGGGCCCGTGGCAGCCCAGGGGAAGGGTCTCCTTGGGTTGGTGGTTCTTCCCAGGAGCAGAGCACAGGAAGGTCAGGCTGCGTGTTCTTGTGGCACAAGACACAGGCAACGTGTTGGGGACACTTCGGTTCTGGGAGAAGTGAGGGGGCCTCCCAGAGCATCGAGTGCTGACAGGAAGCGATGAGGGTCAGCTCTGAGGCAGAGTCCTAGAATCACTAGATTCTGGGCTTAGCTAGAGAGACTCCTACTAGTTGAGAGTCCTCACTGCACCACAGCTGTGCTGTATGATTTTAGAGCTGATTTTAGGCTCTGATCTGTGGGTGGGACTTGTCCCTGTGACTTGTCCCTAATGTTTCAGAGTGTGACCAGACTCCCAGCCTAGAGCCAAACTCTTCCCCATAGACCCCTGCATGGGTCCTCTTGCACCACCACCTTCCCTCACTGGGAGACCTTGTAGGAAACAGTCTTGACACCCCATTGTTCTGTTGACTAGTGCGCGGCTGTCTTGCCCAGTCTTGGTGGGTTTGCTAAGAACCCCACCTAGGTTTTCCTCTTGCACAGTGGGGGCAAAGTCGCCTCGTTTCCCTTTGTTCATCAGCCACCAGGAGGTCCCATGCAAAAGGTACAGCCCATCTCTAAGCCGAGCGAAACCCTGTTCACCTGCTTAGGGGACTCTTTTCTTCCTTGCTGGTTTAGACTTTTTTTTCTTCAGATTTCTTTTCTCCACTCCTGATTTTAATGCTGATGTTTCATTGCTTTCTTTTCTTTGTGTTTCCTTGCTGTTTGTGGAACAAGGCTGGGGGTATGTAAAAACACTGGACAAGTAAGCACACATGACGTCTTCACAGCTGCTTGGTTGGGCATGTCGCATTTTGTGCTTTCTCAGCCTGGTGAGACTGTGGTGTCTGCGTGGTCGTCATCACTGCTCAGTTGGGGTATGCCTGAGGTTGGGCAGGGTGGCTGCTCTTGGTTGTTTTTCTGTTCTCATTAGCTGCTTAGAATTTTAAAAAGAATTTTTCTTTCTATTAGTTACCCAAAACATAAGCAGTACCCTGGTGGATGGGTGGATGTGTTTCTTTTTTTCTTCCCCCTTTCTCTCTAATTTATATTTTTCCCATTGCATAACTACAACCTGCTTATTGTAGAATCACAAAATCATAACAAGTGAATTACTTGGAATCCTACCAGGGGTCCCACTTTTCGCTGTTGTGTATGATACAACCTTCTGGGTTATTTTTCTATGTTTATATTTTTCCTACAAAAAATAGAATCTGATCATACATACTATTTTACAATCTTCACTTTCACTTAGTGGTAGATAATTAGTATCTTTCCTTGTCATTACACATTCTGTAACAGTGTTACTTAAATTTTGTGTTGAGGATGCAGGCACATTCTTCTATAAGTGTAGTAGGGCTTATTGTAAAAAGCAAAAATCGTTTGGGTCTCTCCCAGCCCTAGGCCTGTTTAAAAGCAGCACCTCTTAATCATTTAAGGTTCTTGCTCCACCATTTGTTCCTCCATATCGTTAAGGAAAATGCTTATACCACTTCCATCACTCCCATCACCCTTTTCCTCCTCCCTGCATGTGCTACCACCATACTTCCTTTAGTGATCACTTCTGCAGTTGCAATAATACACTTAAACCTCGACTTCGTATTCCCACTAGCCACTGACAGCACCCTTGTGACCCTCTTTGCTCTCACATGAAGATGTTACAGTTTCCACTCGCCCTCAACGCCCCCCTCCACTGCCCTACTGCATCCTTATGTCTGTCTGTTGGACGTTCCTGTGTCTGAGGTCAAGGCTGATCACATTCCCATTCTGTTTCATCGCATTCCCATCAGTCTCTGTGAGTGACTGTGGCTGGTGCTCTGAGTTGAAGACCAGCACTCTGCATTTAAACAAGGGCTCAGGAATGGGCTGTGCTTATGCTTCCTTCTCTTTGGGTCTAATGTCACTCAAAGGAAAATGTTAAATGTATTTTCCTTTCTGAGTATTCGAGTATATGCTCAACTTTATATTTTAGTTTGCTTGATATTCTGGCTGTGCCTTTCTTGCTTGTTTTGATTTTCTGGAGTTTCTACTGCAACATCATTTTTACCAGCTGCATAGTATTTCATTAAATTAGAGGGTTATCCTTTATTTTCATCCAGTCCGCTGTGGTTCGACTGACTCTTAGATTGTTTGCACTTTGTCATTCGTGTGAGTGGTGCTATCATTAATCTTCTTTAACATACACCTCTGTGCACTGTTTCTTATGTTATGTTTGAGCAACCAAGAATGCCATTCCTGTTCAACCTGATCCTCCTGGCCCCAGCCTCTTGCCACCCTATCACCTTCCATTAAACGGGCCGTTCTAGAGGTTGGCGTAAGAGGTTCCTCGTGGAAGGGGTGGCCCCAGGTCACATCTACCTTCTTCTCCCCAGGCTCTGAAGAGAGGCCATTCCTCAAATTTAAAATGGAAAACATCACTAACTACACAGCCCTTCTGCTGAGCGAGGATGGCAAGACTCTGTACGTGGGTGCCCGAGAGGCCGTCTTGGCACTTGATAGCAACCACAGCTTCCTGCCAGGCGGGAAGTACCAGGAGGTGAGAGATGTGGCCCAGAGCTGACCAGACTGGGCAGAAGCCGGCAGAGGAAGGTTGGATGGGAAGGTTGGCTTGGGTCTGAGGAGGATGCAGATGGGAGAGGAGGGAGGTTCAGCAAATCCTCCATTTCTCTACATGCTTACTGTTCCCTTTCATATTCTCCAGCTGCCATGGAGTGCAGGTGCAGAGAAGAAAAAGGTGTGCACCTTCAAGGGCAGGGACCCACAGGTGAGCCAGCACCAGCGGGGAGGCAGGCTGCAGGAGGGATGGAGAGTGGTGGCAGGAGGTGGGAGCAGACACAGCCAGATGTGGTGGAAAGGTCACGGGCTTCTGAGATGGCCCAACCTGGGCTGGAATCCCAGCCCTATGCTTATTACCTGTATAACCTCAGACAAGTGGGTTCACCTCTATGAGCCTCAGTCTGCCCACCTGCAAAATGGGGATAATGATGCCTGTCTCACTGGTCTTACAGTAAGGATTCAGTGAACTGATAGGCCTAGGGCACCTGGAATATAATACATGCCAAATACAATGTCATTGTACAGCATGAGCAGTGATTATGTGGGGCGGGAGTTGTGTCCTTTTACAGATGGTCCTTGAGGTAGCAGGTCTGACAGATTCTGTTTTGGTTTTGGCCACACCATTGGGTGGGGTCTGGTCCAACCCAAGGTTCTTCTAGTGGATGCCCCACCATTCCCAGAGACTTTCTGGTCCCAAGTGCAGCAGATGATAGCCAAGGCGAAGGCAAAAGAGCACCAGACTTGGTTCAGACACGGGTTCAAGTCAAGACAGGTTCAAGTCCTGACAGCCCTTTTATTATTCCGCTAACATTTATTAAGTACTTGTTCTGTGTCCATGTACCTTAAGACAATGGAGATTTAATTGTGAAAAAGAAAAAAAAGCCGGGCTTGGTGGCTCAGCCTGTAATCCCGCGCCTTTGGGAGGCTGAGGTGAGTGAATTGCCTGAGCCCGCGGGTTCGAGACCCTCCTGGGCAGGCGAGACCTCATCTCTACAATAAATCAAAAAATCAGCCGGGCATGGTAGCGCGTGCCTGTAATTCTGGCCACTCAGAAGGCTGAGGCGGAAGGATCACCGGAGTCCAGCAGGCGAGGCTGCGGTGGCCGGGAGCAGCCACTGCACTCCAGTCTGGGCGACAGAGTGAGACTCCAACTCAAAAAAAAAAAAAAAAGAAAGAAAGAAAAAGAAAAAAAACCCAGTAAAACAAAAAATCCCTCAATTTAAAAAAAACAAAAAAAACCAAAGGTGGTCAGGTGACTGTTTATTATAATAAAGTGACTTCTGAGCCAAGATCAGGAGAGGAGAGCTGATTGGAGCGTACTTTGGAGCAGGACATGGCGTTTCACTCTGAGAGATTTGAGAAACTAATAGAGGGTTGAGCAGAGGAGTGACGTGTTCTTGCCTGTGTCCTCAGGGTGACTCTAGCCCCGTAGACAGTAGCCTCCATAGGAGGGGACAGAAGGCAGGAGAGCAGTGAGAGGCGAGGATCGTGGCTCAGGCCGGGGTGATGCCCATTAGAGGCAGCAAGCAGGATCTCCTGGGGGAAATTGTAGGGATAACACATGGGAGTCAAGGCCTACTCCAAGGCCCAGGGCCTCAACAAGGAAAAGGAATTGCGTTAATGGAACTTTGGGGAGTGAAGCTCACTTGGAGGCTCCTGTCAGCCTTGCTCATGAGGCCGATGCGTGAATTGGGGTGCAAGGGTCAGGGCTGAGTGCTTCCTCCTGCTCTGGGCTGTGGCTTCCTCTCCAGGTTGCTTGGTAGGGACCTGTGGTTTTTACTGAGTTGAAGAGGACCCTGGAGTGGGATTCTGCGCCCTCACCCTCAGACTGAAGGAGAGTTGCCAGTCACCAAATTCACTGTACCCCAAAGCCCCTGCAGCACTCACTCTCTCCTCTTTCCCAGGAAGTTCCTGGATTCTCATGTGATCCCAGACATGAGTGTCCTATCCCCAGATCCCAGGAGCAGAGGTCCCAGGCTGGGCCTTGGGTCTGGTGGGGAGGGCTCGGCAGTGCCCCCTGGTGGCTATGTTTGGGCTGGGCCTGACATCCTCCTCTCCTTTCCCCAGCGTGACTGTCAAAACTACGTCAAGATCCTCCTGCCACTCAACAGTAGCCACCTGTTCACCTGTGGCACCGCGGCCTTCAGCCCCCAGTGCACCTACATCGTGAGTGCCCCCTCCTCAGGCCTGGAGCTGGCCTGGGGACTGCCCCCTTTTCTGCCCCAGGGAGCTGTTCTTTAGCAGAAACCCCTGGTGAAAGGCAGGGAACAAGGGGAGGCTTCTAGGGAGCACTAACTCTGAGAGCCCTGAGGCCCATCACCCTGGCACCCAGCCCAGCTCCAACAGCTGGGAGGGCCGAGGAAGGGGCGCATGCAGTCACCCATGCGCGAAGATCCTGTCCAGCTCACAACTCGCTGCTCTCCCTTGCCTTCTCGTGTGTTTTCTTTGTCCTTGCTTGATTCTTGCGTCTTCCCTTGTACAGCGCCCTCGGCATGTACACACAGCTTTGCATTCCCACCCTCCACATGCTCTGGCAGAAGGTGACCTCCGTGGTTATGGATTGGGGCACCAGCGTTTTTTTTTTTTTTTTTAGACAGAGTCTCACTCTGTCACCCAGGCTGGAATGCAGTGGCATAGTTTCAGCTCACTGCAGCCTAAAATTCCTGGGTTCAAGTGATCCTCCTGCCTCAGCCTCTCAAAGATCTGGCTCACAGGCACATGGCACCAAACCCAGCTAACTATTTTATTTTTTGTAGAGGTGGAATCTTGCTATGTTTCTCTGACTGGTCTCAAACTCCTGACCTCAAGCAATCCTTCTGCCTCAGCTTCCCAAAGTGCTGGGATTACAGGCGTGCTCCACGGCACTTGGCCATGGAGTACCAGCTTTGGAGTCAGACCAGCACTCCTTTCTCCTTTTCTGCCAAATCCATGTCTCGTTCCCTGGCATGCCCCTGAGCCAACCTGTCTGCTTCCCTACAGATTGTGGAGAACTTCACTTTGGCGAAGAATGAGGCGGGGGATGTCCTCCTGGAAGATGGCAAAGGCCGTTGTCCTTTTAACCCCAATTTCAAGTCCACGGCCCTGATGGTTGGTGAGTGCTGGGGGGGCAGGATAGGTTCATTAAGGCTCCATGTGGGGGTGGGTGTGGGCACAGGGCCAGAGAACTGGCTTTGGGCAGGGTGGTAGGTCCTGAGCTGATGGGTCCAAGCTGTGCTGATTCCCAGGGTGCAGAGTGGCTATGGGCTGGCTTTGAGTTTGGCCTTCCCAAATTCTTGCTTCCTTCTCTGACTATCACAGGAAAGATGGGCAGCACTGGGGTCACTCTGGGTGGGCCCTGAGCAGGGGGAAGGGGCTATGCTGTTGGGCTTGTTCCCATGAGAATGTTTTCTTGGCAGATGGCGAGCTCTATGTTGGAACGATCAGCAACTTTCTGGGGAATGACGCGACCATCTCCCGGACCCAAAGCCTTCACCCTACCAAGACCGAGAGCTCTCTCAAGTGGCTGCAAGGTGACATCCTCCCACCATCTGCCCAGTAGGCAGTCGGGCCCTAGGACGGGGCAGTCTCCCCCAGCAGGACCTGCGCCCTGAGTTTCTGAGCTGATTCCATACTCCCCACTACACCCTACAGACCCAGCCTTTGTTGCCTCAGCCTACATTCCCGAGAGCCTAGGCAACTTGCAAGGGGATGACGATAAGATCTACTTCTTCTTCAGTGAGACCGGCCAGGAATTCGAGTTCTTTGAGAAAACCATCGTGTCCCGCATCGCCCGCATCTGCAAGGTAAGGAACATGGGCTGCCGGGTATTGACCCCAGAGGTGCCACAGCTTACAGGGTCACTGCATTGGTGGCCTTTCCCATCCTTCAGGGAAGAACAGCTCTGCCAATGGCTTTTCCTTTGTCTCCTTTTTTGTTTTGTTTTTTTTTTTGAGTTGGAGTCTCACTCTGTCACCCAGACTTGAGTGCAGTGGCCGCTCCCGGCCACCGCAGCCTCGACCTACTGGGCTCTGGCGATTCTTCCGCCTCAGCCTTCCCAGTAGCTGGAACTACAGGCGCTCGCTACCACGCCTGGCTAATTTTTGATTTATTCTAGAGATGAGTTCTCGCCAAGTTGCCCAGGCAGGTCTTGAACCCGCGGGCTCAGGCAATCCACTCACCTCAGCCTCCCAAAGGCGCGGGATTACAGTCTGAGCCACCAAGCCCGGCTTCCTTTTAGATTTTTTGAGTCAGGGTCTAATTCTGTCACCCAGGCTGGAGTGCAGTGGCAAGATCACAGCTCACCAAAAAGTCTCTACCTACTGGGCTCAGGCAGTCCTTCCACCTCAGCCTTCCAAGTAGCTGGAGTTATAGGCATGCACTACCACGCCTGGCTATTGTTTTGATTTGTTGTAGAGACAAGATCTCGCCATGTTGCCCAGGCTGGTCTTGAACCCCTGGGCTTAGGCAGTCCTCTTGCCTTGGCCTCCCAAAGTACTGGGATTACAGGCTTGAGCCACCATGCCTGGCAAATATTTTGTTTTTTTGTAGAGATGAGGTTTTGCTATGTTGCCCAGGCTGGTCTCAAACTCCTAAGCTCAAACATTCCTTCTGCCTCAGTCTCCCAAGGTGCTGGGTGTCAGGTGAAGTGGCTTGTGCCTATAATCCCAGCACCTTGGGAGGCAGAGGGAAGAGAATCGACTGAGCCAAGGGCTTCAAGACCAGCTTGGGCAACTTAGCAAGACCTCGTCTCTACAATAAATGAAAAAATTAGTCGGGTGTGGTGGTATGCACCTATAGTTCCAGCTGCTTGGAAGGCTAAGGTGGAAGGATTACCTGAGCCCAGCAGGTTGAGGATGCAGTGGCATGCTCACGACCACCCCAGTATCGACCTGCTGGGCTCAGGCCATCCTTCTGCCTCAGCCTTCCAAGTAGCCAGAACCATAGGTGGATACTACCATGCCCAGCTAATTTTTTGATTTATTGTAGAGATGAGGTCTTGCCAAGTTGCCCAGGCTCTTCTCAAACATGTGGACTCAGGCAATCCCCCACCTCAGCTTCCCAAATTGTTGGGATTACAGTTTTTTGTTTTGTTTTATTTTTTACGTAAAAAAAGTGAAGATGTAGACATGAACACATAAAAATCATTTACAAAATAACAAGGTGGTGTAGCATCATGCGCAGACTGGGGAGGCAGACTACTCAGATTCAAACCCTGCTGGTCTAGGATCTTGGGCTTGTCCCTCACCCTATAGCTGAGCGGTTTCCCCATCTATTAAATGGGAATAATATGACTTTGGAGTTGGTATATGGATTAGTGCAATGGACTAAATTAATCCATGTGAAGCTCTTAGAAATGTGGGTGGCAATGACTAAATGTGAACTCTTGGTATCATAAGCCCCCTGCCCCACCACAAGAAGGGTTCTCTGTTAACATTTTATTTCATTTCATTTTTTGTGTTGGAGTCTCACCCTGTCATCCAGGCTGGAGTACAGTGGCATGATCACAGTTACCGCAGCCTCTACCTGCTAGGCTCGGGCGATCCTCCCACCTCAGCCTTCCAAGTAACTGGAACTACAGGCACGCACCACCCCACCTAGCTAATTTCTTTTATTTATTGTAGAGATAAGTTATCTCCAAGTTGCCCAGGCTGGTCTCAAACCTCTGGACTCAGACATTCCTCTTGCTTCAGCTTCCCAAAGTGCTGGGATGACAGGTGTGAGTCACTGCACCTGACCCTGTTAACATTTCAGAATGTCCCTTGCTAATCTTTTTTTGCATATGTGTAACTACATGCATATTTATGTTATTAGCATCCACACACACATGAGTTAGGCTGGATTGAGTTGAGGTCCTTGGGCATCCTTGTTTGCCTGTCAGTGAATCATGGACATCTTTCTATATTTATCTGTTTTTATTTTATTATTTTATTTTATTTTTATTTATTTGTTTTTTTGAGTTGGAATCTCACTCTGTCGCCCAGACTGGAGTGCAGTGGCCGCTCCCGGCCACCGCAGCCTCGACCTGCTGGGCTCTGGCGATCCTTCTGCCTCAGCCTTCCAAGTAGCTGGAACTACAGGTGCACGCTACCACACCCGGCTAAGTTTTTCATTTATTGTAGAGATGAGATCTCACTAAGTTGCCCAGGCAGGTCTCGAACCCATGAACTCAGGCAGTCCACTCACCTCAGCCTCCCAAAGGCATGGGATTACAGGCTGAGCCACCGAGCCCGGCATATTTTATTATTTTATTTTTTTGAGTTGGAGTCTTACTCTACTGCCTAAACTGGAGGGCAGTGGCACGCTCACGGCCACCACAGCCTTGACCTGCTGGGCTCCAGCGATCTTTCCGCCTCAGCCTTTCAAGTAGCTGGAACTACAGGCATGAGCCACCACACCTGGCTAATTTTTTGATTTATTGTAGAGGTGAGGTCTCACCAAGTTGCCCAGGCTGGTCTCGAACCCGTGAGCTCAGGCAATTCTCTCACCTCAGCCTCCCAAAGTGCTGGGATTATAGGCATGAGCCACCGCGCCCAGCTACCTTTCTGTATTTAGATAGACTCTGCGTGGTCCCCAGTTCTTCATGGTCCACGGTGAGGAACGTACCCTCCTGATGGAACACGTACGCTGCCCCCGAGTGTTCTTCACTTTAGATGGAACTCGGTGCTGGCTTTCGCCTGTCCTTCATTCCTGGTGTCTGGGGAGGTCTCTTGCCTCCCCTCACACTGGCCAGTGCCTGAGCCCAGCCCATTCCCCTCCAGGGCGACAAGGGTGGTGATCGAGTGCTGCAGCGGCGGTGGACGTCCTTCCTCAAGGCCCAGCTGCTGTGCTCGCGGCCCGATGATGGCTTCCCATTCAATGTGCTGCAAGATGTCTTCACACTGAGCCCCAGCCCCCAGGACTGGCGCGACACCCTTTTCTATGGTGTCTTCACCTCCCAGTGGTAGGCCCCAGGTGTTCGCTAGGGATGGGAGGGTGAAGGGTGGCTGGGATGGGGGGGACCAAGGACTGGCCTTGGGCCCAACTGGCCTCATTCTGAATCTCCAGGGCTTGGGTTAATCTGGTTGTTTGCTTTGCAGGCACAGGGGTACCACAGAGGCCTCTGCCATCTGCGTCTTCACCATGAGGGACGTGCAGAAGGTCTTCAGCGGCCTCTACAAGGAGGTGAACCGCATGACGCGGCAATGGTACACTGTGACCCAGCCGGTGCCCATTCCCCGGCCTGGAGCGGTAGGTACTGGCTCCCTGTACCCAGAGTGGGTGCTGGGAAGACTCGAGTTCCCACACCATGCAGGCACCAAGGCTGCCTAACCTCAGGCAAATTACTTGACTTCTCCGAATCTGTTTTTCATCTTTGAAATGGAGACATAAGTCCAGGCCTCCTTGTCTTACTGGGTTAGATGTGACCAAGAATGTCAGAATGGCTTCCGTTCTGTCTCAGGTGCTGTCTGTGTACTCTTTAATCATCCCTTCGAGCCAGGCTCGGTGGCTCAGCCTGTAATCCCGTGCTTTGGGAGGCTGAGGTGAGTGGATTGCCTGAACCCGCGGGTTCGAGATCCACCTGGGCAACTTGGCAAGACCTCATCTCTACAAAAAATCAAAAAAATCAGCCAGGCATGGTAGTGCATGCCTATAATTCCGGCCACTCGGACGGCCGAGGCAGAAGGATCGCCGGAGCCCAGTGAGTCGAGGCTGCAGTGACTTGGAGCGGCCACTGCACTCCAGTTTGGGTGACAGAATGAGACTCCAACTCAAAAAAAAAAAAAAAAAAAAATCATCCCTTCGGCTGGTCTCCCTGCTACTCGACTGTGAACTCCTTATTTAATTACTAAGTGACCGAATGACCAGGCCACAGGGAAATGGCCCTTTCTTCCCTCCCTCTAGCCTATGAACTTCAACTCATGGCCAAGGAGATATGTGCCAGTGGTTGATTTGGAAGGTGATGCTGGGAAGCAGGGAAGGTGGAGAGAAGGAGGGAGACAGCCAGGAAGGGCGTGTCGGTGAGCCCTTATGGCGGTGGGCAATGGAGCTCAGTCCCCCAGGGCCTCTGAGAGACGGTATGGGGCTGCTCTCAGAATTTCAGGAAGCCCAGGTTGGCGCAGGAGCTAACTAGATAGGCCACACGAGGACACTTTGCTCAGCCGGAGCTTCCTGAGTGAACTAGGGAAAGGACTCTGAGGAGCAGGAAGCATGGTCACGGGGACAAGACCTGTGTGTGTGAGGGTGAGGGGCGGTGGGCAGGGAGGAGGGGCAGCAAGGAGACCCCCCAAGCCCTTGGTTTCCCCATACCCCGGGCTTTCCCTGGGGCCTTCAGGCCAGCATGATGACTCACTGGATCTGCATGGGTTGTGCCCTGGCTCCCAAGGATGGGACAGGCACTGCTGCCGACCCTGGGGAGGTAGGACCCCCCACCTGCTTGCTGCCCTGAAGTATTGCTGCCCTCACGCTGCCGCCTTTTCTCCTCCAGTGCATCACCAATAGTGCCCGGGAACAGATGATCAACTCGTCCCTGGATCTCCCTTACCGCGTGCTGCTCTTCCTCAAGGACCACTTCCTGATGGATGAGCAGGTCCGCAGCCGCCTGTTGCTGTTACAGCCACGGGCCCGCTACCAGCGCGTGGTCGTGCACCGTGTCCCCGGCCTGCGCCATGCCTATGATGTCCTCTTCCTGGGCACCCGTGAGTGCAGCACAACTGGCTGGAGTGGGAGGAGGGGCGTGGCCGGTGGGTCATGGGCAGCAGCTCCACCTAGGGCCTGAGTCCTGTCTGTATTCCAGGTGACGGCCGGCTGCACAAGGCAGTGAGCGTGGGCAACAGGGCGCACGTCATTGAGGAGCTCCAGATCTTCCCATCAGGACAGCCCGTGCAGAACCTGCTCCTGGACACCCACCGGGTGAGCAGACAGGGCAGAGTGCTTGGGGATGCCCCTCCATTTTCTCCAAGCTGTCCCCACGCAGCTTTTCCTCTCTTGCTCTAGCAAGATGGAAAGATACGCGATCTGGGCTCATGGCACAGGCTGTCAGAAAGCAGGGGTGCTGGGAACATGATGGAGGTCCCTCAGGGCTCCCTGGGGCATGTGGGCCAGGAATGGCCTTGGCCCTGGCTGCCCAGCCCCCCTCTCATCCCTTTTGTCTGGCTGTGCAGGGTCTGCTGTATGCTGCCTCGAACCTGAGCGTGGTCCAGGTGCCTGTGGCCAACTGTAGCCTGTACCGGAGCTGTGGGGACTGCCTCCTCGCCCGGGATCCCTACTGCGCATGGAGTGGCTCCAGCTGCAGCTACATTGGCCTTTACCAGCCTGAGCTGGCATCCAGGTGAGTGTTCCCAGCCCCCTTCCTGCCCAGCCATCCTTGCGCACTTGGCCTCGGGCACCTTCCCAGGCCACCTAAGGATTTAGCTCCCTTGTCTCCTTTCAAATCGTCATAGTTTAGACCATAAGTTATATGCTTGCCTTGGCAAATGGGGACATGCTTTGGTAAAGTAGGAAATGTCACAGCTTTGAAAATCCTTGCAGGCTGGGCGCAGTGGCTCATGCCTATAATTCCAGCACTTTGGGAGGCTGAGGAGAGAGGATTGCCTGAGCCCACAGGTTCGAGACCAGCCTGGGCAACTTGGCGAGGCCTCATCTCTACAATAAATCAGAAAATTAACTGGGCATGGTGGTGCATACCTGTAGTTCCAGCTACTTGGGAGGCTGAGGCAGAAGGATTGCCTGAACCCAGCAGGTTGAGACTGCAGTGGCCGTGAGAGTGAGACTCCAACTTAAAAAAAAAAAAAAACAAAAGAAAATCCTTGCGGGGCCAGGCATGATGGCTCATGCCTATAATCCCAGCACTCTGGGAGGCCGAGATGAGAGGATTGCCTGAGCCCCAGGGGTTCAAGACCAGCCTGGACAACTTGGCAAGACTTCATCTCTACAATAAATCCAAAAATTAGCTGGGTGTGGTAGCTTGTGCCTATAGTTCCAGCTATTTGGAAGGCTGAGACGGAAGGATCGCCTGAGCCCAGCAGGTCGAGGCTGCAGTGACTATGAGCATGCCACTACACTTTAGCCTGAGTGACAGAGTGAGACTCTGACTCAAAAAAAAAAAGAAAATCCTTGCAGGATACTGTGGGTTAGCATATGAATGTGTTTTAGTAACAATAGAGCTACAGGCAGGCACGGTGGCACAAGCTTGTAATCCCAGCACTTTGGGAGGCAGAGGCAAGAGGACTGTCTGAGCTCAGAAGTTCGGGACCAGCTGGAGCAACATGGTGAGACCTCATCTCTACAGTAAATCAAAAAATCAGCCAGGTGTGGTGGTACATGCCTGTGGTTCCAGCTACTTAGAAGGTTAAGGCAGAAGGATTGCCTGAGCCCAGTAGTTCAAGGCTGCGGTAGCCATGAGTGTGCCACTGCTCTCCAGCTTGGGTGACATAGTGAGACTCTGTTTAAAAAAAAAAAAATTAGAGCTACAGAACAGTATTAAGAGACCTGTTAAAACCAAACCAAACTAATTAAGGTTGATGACAACAAGAAACTAGGGGAATGGGTAGGCCTGTGTAAAACTGACAGGGAAAACCCTATAACGTGGTTGGTTGCAGTTGTTGTAGTAAAGGACTATGGCAAAGAATCTTAGGCCAAGAATGTCATCGAAGAGTACTTCAGATGCAAGAAGTGAACAAATAAGACTTTGGCTCATGAAGAAAAAAAAAGGCTTCAGGATAACCTATTTGAATTATAAAATGGTGGTGTAGAAAATAGGGGAGGGACTGGGCATGGTAACTCACACCTCTAATTTCAGCATTTTGGTAGGTGGCAGGATTGGTAGGTGGGAGGCCAAGAGTTCAAGACCAGCCTGGGCAACATAGTGAAACCATAAATCTTGTTTAAAAAATTACCTGGGCATGGTGGCAGGAGCCTGTAACCCCAGTTACTTGGGAGGCTGAGGCAGGAGGATTGACTGAGCCTATGACTTCAAGGCTACAGTGAGCTATGCTCACACCACTGCACTCCAGCCTGGGTGACAGAACAAGACCCTGTCTCTAAAACAACAACAAAAAAGAAATATGGATAAGCACAAACAGAATAAAAACTACCCCTTATCCCAGAATCGCAGTGAGATTTTTATATTTTATCCTCCCAGATTTTTCTACATATGTGTAAAATAAACAGAATCCATATATTTTTAAAACAGGATCTGTCCCATTTGTAGTGTTCTTGCTTCACATATGGATACATCTGGTGTCAGTTTTATATTTCAGAAAAAACAAGTGTAAATCTACATATGGCCAGCCTTCGTGGCTCATGCCTGTGATCCCAACACTTTGGGAGGCTGATACGGGCAGATTGCTTGAGCCCAGGAATTTGAGACCAGCCTGGGCAACCTAGCGAGACCTTGTCACTCCAAAAAAAATTTTAAAAATTAGCCAGGTGTGGTGGCACACACCTGTAATCCCAGCTACTCAGGATGCTTGGGGGAAGGATCACTTGAGCCCAAGAGGGCAAGGCTGCAGTGAGCCATGATTTTGACACTTGTTTATTATTTTTTATTAAACATTGCATTGTTAAAAAAGAGACAGATAGACCCAGAGATCCAGCTGTCTTTCCAGTCTCTTTCTGAGGGTAAATACTGTCTTTGTAACTAAGGGGAATATTGTAGTAACTTTTATTTGAAATAGCATGTGGACAGAGGAGATGCCAACTCCCCCCTGTGGGTGGGGAATCAGCTTAGGGAAGTCCTGACAGTCCCTGAACCCTGGGTCCCTTGTCCAGACCCAAGTTTGCATTGAGGGGTGAGGGAATGCGGGCTCAGGGGGCTTCCTGGCCTATCCCACTCTCTGGTCCTCAGACCCTGGATCCAGGACATCGAGGGAGCCAATGCCAAGGACCTCTGCAACGCCTCCTTGGTCAAACCCCAGTCTTTTGTTCCAACAGGTGAGGTGCCCCCTCAGTGGGTGGAGGAGAGATGGGGCTAGGAAGGTTCTTTCAGGCACATCCTTGTTCCTTCTCACATCCTCGTCCCTCCAGCCCTGCACCTAGCGCCCTGGGAAGTGAGACTCAGACAGTCCAGGGGTCCCCAGGGTTGCCCATCAGGAGGGAGGTAGGTGAGCTTGGAGCAACTGGACACCAGCGCTCTCTACCCACTGCCTTCTTTGCCCACAGGTGAGAAGCCATGTGAGCAAGTCCAGTTCCAGCCGAATACAGTGAAAACCTTGGCCTGCCCGCTCCCTTCCAACCTGGCGACCCGGCTCTGGCTATACAATGGGGACCCCGTCAATGCCTCAGCCTCCTGCCGTGTGCTGCCCACTGGGGACCTGCTGCTGGTGGGCAGCCAGCAGGGACCAGGGGTGTTCGAGTGCTGGTCACTGGAGGAGGGCTTCCGGCAGCTGGTGGCCAGCTACTGCCCAGAGGTGGAGGACGGGATGGCCGAGCAAACAGACCGGGATGGCAGCGCACCTGTCATCATCAACACATCGCGTGTGAGTGCACCAGCCGGTGGCAAGGCCAGCCAGGGGGCAGATGCGTCCTACTGGAGGGAGTTCCTGGTGATGTGCACGTTGTTCGGGCTTGCTGTGGTGCTTCTCGTTTTATTCTTCCTCTATCGGCACCGGGACAGCATGAAAGTCTTCCTGAAGCAGGGCGAGTGTGCCAGCGTGCACCCCAAGACCCGCCCTGTGGTGGGGCCACCTGAGACCCGCCTGCTCAATGGTGTAGGCCCCCCTAACACCCCACTCGACCACCGAGGCTACCAGGCCCTGTCGGATAGCTCTCCGGGGCCCCGAGTCTTGGCTGAGTCGGAGAAGAGGCCACTCAGCATCCAGGACAGCTTTGTGGAGGTGTCCCCAGTGTGCCCCCGGCCCCGGGTCCGCCTGGGCTCTGAGATCCGTGACTCTGTGGTCTGAGAGCCAACTTGCAGAGGAGGTGGCCCTGGCTTCAGGGGCCATGAATGCTCCGAGGGGGTGAGCTGGACCTCCCCTCCGCTCCTCGTGGAACACAACCGCAGTGCCCAGCCTCGGGGCCTCGGAGCCAGCAGGCCGGCTGCTCTCCAGCCAAGGAGTGAGACTCCTACACCAACAGCCACGGCCCCAGAGGTCCTGGCTGGAGACAAGGGCCTACCTTGGTGGGCAGAACAGTGCTCCTTATGTAAACTGAGCCCTTTGTTTAAAAAACAATCAAAATGTGAAACCAGAGTGAGGAAGGAGACAGCATGGAATGCTACACAGGGCTACTCCAGTTCGCTGCCCCCAGCCTCGGACTCGCTGCCCCCAGCCTCGGACTCCCAGAGGCTCCTCACAGTGGTTGGTTGAGACAGATGGAAATCCCTCACCAGCTGGCCTCATCCACTTTCCGCCTTATCCTGTTGCACGAGCTGCCCTTTCACATGCAGAGCCAGGAGCCGACTCGGGCTTTGTGGGTCCTGCCTTGCCAGCCGGCTAAGGATGGAGTTGCCGCTATCATCCGGCCACCTCAGGGACCAGAGCGCCAGGCAGGCACCACAGCCCTCACCAGGCCCTGGGCTCAGACCCAACACCTGGTCCTTTCCAGCCTGTATCAGGCCGTGGCCACACAAGTGCAGTGTGCACTTAGGAGAGTTGATAACGACGTGTGCTTTTATTTTTTATTATTTTTTTGAATCGGAGTCCATTGTCGCCCAGGCTGGAATGCAGTGACACACTCACATCTGCCACAGCCTCAACCTGCTGGGTTCAGGTGATCCTTCTGCCTCAGCCTCCCAAGTAGCTGGAACCATAGGTATGCACCACCATGCCCAGCTAATTTTTTGATTTATTGTAGAATGGAGGTTTTGCCATGTTGCCCAGGCTAGTCTCAAACCCCTGAGCTCAGGCAATCCTCTTGCTCCCGCCTCCCAAAGTCCTGGGAGCCACCGCGCCTGGCAACAACATGGGCTTCCCTCAGGATTCAAGGAAGCGACGGGCGCCCACCTTCCTCCATCCCAGCCTGAGAACCCGTGTGTCCCTTCCCACCACATCCACCCTAGCCCCGGCTTCAAACTCAGACCCCAAGAAGTAACTGCACCCTGTCTTCTCCCCAGTGCACCCCTCGCCTCTCACCTGCCTCCACTCTTAAGGGATATCAACACTGCCCAACACAGGAACCCTGAATTTGTGGGTTTTACATATTTTTAATAAGATGCACTTTACCTTTTTTTAATAAAGTCTTTAGAATTATTGTTTAATCATGACCTTTGCTTAAAGGACTGTCGCCTTTTGAGGTTGTTCTGGTTCTGAGTTCTGGGGCTTCTGAGCCTCCTCTTCCTGAGCACTGATGAGCCAGAGTCGGCCTTGCCTGGTCAGCAGCATCACCCTGTGAGTGTGGCTCTCAGGTGTGGCGTTAAGCCCACTGCAGTTCAGTTCAGCGAGGACACGGGAGGGGGCCTTCTTTTTAATCCTTTCAAGTTTTTTTAGCTGTTCAAATAGTCATACAGTAAAATGGACTTTTTTCTTTTGGGGCACAGTTCCCATTTTAACACGAGTCATGTAACCACCACTGCAATCAGGATACAGGAGAGTTCCATCCCCCATGCTGCCCCTTGCATACTCACACCCTCACAGGGGGTGGCTGGGGTGGGGGTATGGGGTGACTTCCCACTGGCCGCTTCTATAGATGTTGCTTATTCCTTGTAGGCTCAAAGGCCCCTAGAAGTCCAGTCTTATACCAGCGTCTCTGGTGCCACACACAAGGTCAAAACTTCTAACCCTTTATTACTGATCAGTAGAAACAAACAGTGGTGCAAAGGGCAGCAAGAAGGGGGAGGCCCTGACAAGGAGGGCCCTTCCTGCCCAGGCGGAGACTGCCGTGCCAGCTCCGGGATGGGCCAGCTCAGCCGGCCCTGTCAACACAGGCATGACCTTGGTCACAGATTGGCAGTGGAAAGGTTCTTGGACAGGATGCTGGGACACATGGTGGGGCTGCTGTCACAGGACAATCTTAAAGGAGCTAAACAAGAGAAAAGTGGGTTGGATTTTCTGGAAGCAGAGGGTAGGGACTCAATCCAGGCTTACTCCCTTCTCCCCTAGGGCCCCTCTTTGAAATGGACTGTGTCCCATGTGTCAGTCCCTCTGGAAGAGGTATCTGGGCCATTCAGAGGAAGCTGGGGGCGGGGGGATTCTCACCCCGTGACACCTGTAATAATGTCCCAGACCCAGATGAAGCAGACAGAGACCTGTGCATACCCAGAACACAGGGAGTCCACATCATACCTGGCAAAGTCCGGTGAACGGGAGATGACATGCTGGAACTCAGAGAGGTTGATGGTCCCATCCCTGTCAATGTCAGACTCTTCTAGGATCTGGGAATGGGAGGGCTTCAGGCCACAGGTCCATCCTTCCCTCCCACTCCCAGGCCCAGCCAGACCCAGCCCAGCTACACTCACATTGTCAATGAGCTGCTTCATCTCTGCAGCGCTGAGCCGAGTGTCCTCACCCTCTCCCGTGAGGCAGTTTACCAGCCGGCTGAGGTCTTCTCTGTTCAGGGTTCCATCGTCATCAAAGTCTAGAGAGCAGACCCAGGAAGCCAGAAGAACACAGTCAGGAAGGGCTCCAAGGTTCTACATATGGTGCCCATTTCCCAGGCGGTGCTGCCACAAACCCCAGGTGGGAAGGGGCAGTGTCCACCAGGCTGCTGGTCCTTACCGAAGATGCGGAAGGCATAGTGGGACTTGATGTCTGGGGTTGCTGTATCACTGAACACACTGAGGAGGTCCAGGAAGTCTTCAAAGCTCAGGCTGTCTCTGGTTGGAGCCGTGGAGAAGACCCTGCAGATTCGCTCCTTGAATGGGTTGGCCTAGAAGAGAGCCTTCTGTGAACAACACAGGAGATGCCCAGGTCACACACTCAGTGTGTGGGAGCGAATGATCAGTGCTTTGGGACCAACAAGGAGGGCCAATGGGGACACAAGAAGATGACCCAGTGGGGAAGGGATGAGGGTGGCTTCCTGGAGTCAGTGTTTAACCCAAAGGCAGGTAATCTACAACACAAGTGGAGGCAGAGAGAGAAGAGGAAGGCACCCTATGCAAAGGGAACAAGATAAGTGCGTTATTTTTTTTTTTTTTGAGTTGGAGTCTCACTCTGTCACCCAGACTGGAGTGCAATGGC